CCCTATAGGTAAGACAACCTGTCGCCCGTGCAACATTCTCAGACAACGTATATAAATGTTTAAAAAATTAGTCGAAACACATGTTGATATTTTATTTGTTACTTCAAGTTAATTTTAAAATATTTTTGCATGTATGCCAAAGCTAATTATGTTTAAGCTTAAACATGCATTTAACCTGCGCAACAATCTTAGATGCATAAATTTGAGTATTTAAAGGCACGTTTGAGCATATGTGGGATTTTTATGTTTATTAGCTTGTATTGACTTTTAGGGGTTTTATTATTATTTGCATGGGTCTGTTATTGATCAAAATCTTTTGCATTTGCCATAAGATTCACATGAGAGGATAGAAAGCGAAACTAAAAACTTAAAGTGAAAATATTTGTCTATGGTTATTGGTTAAGGCTAGTCATTAGAAGCTAAGTATTCAAACTTAACGTATAGTAGCAACATATCTTTTTTACATTATAAAATTATCGCCATGGCTTAAAAGCGGATGGAAACAATGAAGAACCAGATCAAGATCCCATGATTTTGTCATCCCGGGTTGTCGTGGCCTCTGGTCTACCTTATTAGCGAAGGCAGTCGACCTAACCTAACAGAAGGATCCTTATCAGTAGTCATGGATTACTTCTTCCAAGGGAACCTTATAGACTAGGGGCGAATGTCAAAGAGGACTAATCTAATTCGATCTTAGCTTACAAATGATATTATGTCCTATTAAATATATCCTATAATTCAATTCTCAAATTGTCAGACTGTTATTGGGCAACATACGAACTACAACTTTGACTGTAAGATAATAGTGCCATTTGGCGGCAAGTCATTCAATCAGAGGACTCAAGTCGTAACTACTTTGTGGTGTCATTTGGTGGTAAAATGAAGTGAACAGAGGACTCAGGCCACAACCTTACTAGCATAGAATTATTGGGTTTGAATATAGTAGTATGTTTTATATGATATTGGCTCTTTGTAAGCTCGATTCAACTTTAGATTTGTTCACTCAGACAAATGATCGTAGTTGATCAATGGATTTATTTTTTGGTTTTTTGGTAATTAATTTTTGTTTTGACAATTTAAATTTTATAATTTAAAATCTTGATTTTGTTAATGAATCTCTTATGTCGAAATTCACGATCACATGGCTATTATTGATGAAAATTATTATGTAACTTCGTTTGAAATACCAGTCATGTTGACTCATATTCTTATTAGGAGGAGGATCTGGCTAGGGGCTCAGTCTTATCAACTTTAGTCTCTGTAGAGAAGTGGATCATACTAGCCAAAGTATGAGACTTAACGACCTTACTTTATAGGTGATGCGACCTGTTGTCCGTGCAGCATTCTTAGACCACGTATATAAACGTTTAAAAAATTGGAATGGCTTTGCCAGTTGATTGGGTGAAAAGCTAGATGGAGGGAGATGGAAATTGACTCTGGGTTTGTTCCTGGCGAGAGGAGCTGCAAGAGATGCGCGTTTATGCTGGAGCAATCGGAGGGAAGGGTAGCTCACCGACTTGGGTTGTTGGAATAAGGTCGACTCAGAGTCGTATTGGGTTGTGAGCTCTTCGGCGAGATTTCGGTGAGGGAACAATGCTGCTAGGGCTGACAAGAAAATAATGAGCCATTTAGTTTTGCGTGAAACATGGAGCTATGGGGTTGGGGCACATCAACTTGGCTACATGAGAGATCTTCGATGTGAGGAGCAACAACACAGAAGCAGGGAGTGGGCAAGAGAAGCAGCGCTTCCAGTTAGATTCCGGCAGGAGGGGAAGAGGGAGCCGCACGGAGAGATACGAGCAGGAGGAGATGCACATGAACTGAGGGAGGCTAGGGATTTCGAGTGAATGAATGAGAGAGGAGAGCTGCTTCTTTTGTTTTTTTGGTTTTGATTTAATTATTATTTTATTTTATTTTATTTTATGAAATGGCTTGCTTTAATTGGATGACTCAAATGGTGGGAAAGGAAAGTTTAAGCATGGGCTAAACTTATCAGGAAAGAAGAAAAGGATTTATCATCTCTCTTTTCTTATTATTTTAACTTAATTATCTTCACCTTGATAGATGTGTCATCAACGCATTTGTGAAATTCTAACATTATAGGTGTTCTCTCTAGGTAAATTTGATGTCATGAATGTACTCGTGTAGTATGTTTTGTTATCGGGAAGCATTTGAGTAATTTTGTTGATGATCGTGACTATTTGAGCCTGAATTTTGCGCGTTGCACCGGAACCACATTGTTTTCATCATGCTACCTCCTTTTAATCATAGAATACCCTCAAGTAATCTTGATGCCCTAGATGCAATGGTGGTCCGTTTTAGAAATGGGAGTCATTTCGGTAACTTTCAAAAGGGTCGAGGTGACTAGTGTTTGAATTGTATACATTGTTATGACAATCCATCGTTTTCGTCATGATTGGCCATTCAAAACTCTTTCTTAGGTAATTTTGATACTTTGAACACAATTATGAAGTCTGTTTCACAAACGAACATTATTTTGCTTAATTTTGGTGGACATTGAAGTATTTCACATTTAATTGTGCTATTCACATTGATTGTTCGCTAGTCTTGGTGCATTTGATTGACTCATTGATATCGGAAGAAACCTAAACCACAACAAAAGTAAATATTATTACTTAAATTGAAAGGATAACAAACACTATGTTTGAAACATGAAATAACGACAACAAAATAACAACACAAAAAGAAAGACAACACAAACTCCAATTAGCAGGTAGATCTAATGAAGGGTTTGCGACAACTGCTGGGTTCCTTGGGACCGGTTGCTGCAGCGTTGGGAAGAGTTGGGGACGACTACAACATGATGGGGGAAGGCCTGAGAGGGTTGCAGTTGGGAGTGCTTATGACATGCTTTGGAAGGGCTGGAGGGAGTTCGATAGTGAGGGCAGCAAGCTGGCAGTTGAGAGGACGGGACTACCAACATGAGGAAGAGGACCGGAGGGCTGCGTAGAGATAAAATGCCTCGTCGGGGTCGAGCTACAGTTAAAGCACCACCCGAACCTTTGGAGATCACCACCTCGAATGAGTTATAGCCGGAGCACCTTCTCGCAGTCAGGTACAACCCTTGGAAAGGAAGAACGCCTCAGTGGTAGTAACTAAAATCAACAATCATCAAAACCTTATTTTCTAAGGAAAAATAGCCCTTATTTATAAAAGTGTGTAGGAATTATATTAGACAATGCTTTCAATTAGGAAATATAATCAGAAGGAAGTAATATAATCGACAAGGATTTATAATAGGAGATTCTCAGGGAAATAAGGATTAGTAGGGGAAAGGGAAGAAAAGGGGGAGAAGGGTTGGACCACAGTTACTATAGCTGTTACAATATCGCATCCGTGGCACTGTAGCAACTATAGTGTCGTGATCCAGGGGAAGCTCTCACGTTAATCTACTGGGGTTGGGGGAGCTTCGACATCATCCGTCGAAGCTTTTAGGACAAGAAAATTTTGGTGAGGGCGGCTTGAATTGGAGCGGATGCTAGGAACCCTAGGATAGGACTAGTGTTGGGTTAGCTTTGAAACCAAATGATATCATTGGAAACCCAAACCACATCAAAAAATAAATATTATTGCTGAAATTGAAAGGATTATAGACACGACTCTTGAAAACATGAAATAACGAAAACAAAACAACAACAAAAATATAAAGACACCACATTGGCTCCAATAAGGGTTACGTTAGTAGGTAGATCTGATGGAGGGGTTGCGTTAGCTGTTGGGTTGCTTGAGACGGGCCACTGCAACATTGGGAAGAGTTGGAGACGGCTAAAACAGGATGGGAGAGGCCTAGGAGGGTTGCGGTTAGGTATGGATGGGTTGGGAGGGCTTATGATAGGTTTTGGAAGGGCTGGAGGGAGTTTGACAACGAGGGCAGCAAGTTGGCAGGTGATAGGATGGGGCGATCAGTAGCAGGAAAAGGGTCAGAGGGTTGGAGAAAGATAAAATGTTTAGTCGGGGTTGAGCTACAGCTGGAGCACCACCTGAACCTTTGGAGACGATCACCACCTTGGACGAGTTACAACTGAAACACCTTCTCGCCTGCGGGTACAACCCCTAGAGGGCAAGAACGCCTCAAAGGCAGTAGCTGAAATCAACAAACATGAAAACCTCATTTTGTAATAAAAAACAGTCCCTATATATAAGAGGGATTATAACTTATATTAGACAATGCTTTCAATTAGAAAATAAATAAATGGAATTAATATAATAGGCAAGGATTTATAATAGGGAATTTCATGGAAAAGGAAAAAAAAAATTAGGAGAGAGAAGAAAAGAAGGAAGGGGGTAGGGTTGGACCGCAGTTACTGTATCTGCTACAGTAACACGCCCGCGGAACTGTAGCTGCTACAGGTTTGTGTTTCGGGGGAAGCTCCAACGTCACTCATCTTATGGATTAGATGTGAGTGTCAACAAAAAGGTTGAGTGTACTATCCCAGAGCATAATTTGCTACCAATTGCAGCTTAAACTTTTTGTAAATCAAGCTTAAATGGTGTTTTACAATCTCAACTTTGCTTAAGTTGATCGTGCTTAACCGACATTGTTTTTATTTTTGACTTATTATGCGAACATAAGTTTCTGATTTTGCCCGCACACTTTTCGCTCACTTCCATAAGTGGAATTTAGTTGATTATATTAGTTGGGAATGCTTTTCTTTGTGATAGTAAAATAACAAGTAAAGTGTTGAAATTGTCTCCCGTCTTTTTAAATGAAGGGCCATTTTAACCCTAGGTCTCTAACAGTGTCAAATTAGTTCCTAGACTCTTTAAATTAGGGTTGAGATAGTCATATGTGAAGACTACTTCATCTCATATTAAGGAAGTGTGGAGACTAAATTGTCACTTTTATAAACTCCGGTACTAATGACCTAATGTAAGTAATCAAGTGCTATTTTGGCACTTTACTGGTAAAATAATATATGATCTTATCTCATCATTTTTCTATACTATCGCTTCTGAAAAAAGTTGCATCCTCATGTCAGGTAGAGGCTGCCTATGATATGTTGCTCATGAAAAGCTTAAATCAGCGTAGGTCTGGGAAAGTTGCCAACAGTAACATTCGCTATGCCGACGTTAAGCCTGCTGGTAGTCCAGGCGCTGGAGCCTTGCCACAGTGGCTAAAATCAGCGGCCAAGAATGTACCTATTTCTATTGAATCTCCATCCGCCGACACTTTAGGCATACAGGCAGGGGTTTATGGTGCTCTAATGGTCTTTACATTGGTTAGTGGAGCCTCTACAAACTCAGCTGGAGTTTACAGTGGGACTGATGTTCCAGGGCTGATATTAGTTGCTAGTTTTGGAGCCTCAATCTACTTTTTGAGAAAGAAAAGCATTAATTTAAGTAAGTGCCACTTCTGCCTTTTTATTTCTATTAAGCTTTTAACGATTGTATACACCATGTATCATGAATTACTTGTGAAGCCTTGGGGATTGCAAATTGTAATTTTCATGAGATTCTTTTCGGCCCATTTGAATATCATGATAAGAAATTATTGATAAGACATGATTAATTGTATGAGGAGAATTCATTATGTTTGATAGGTTGATGGCGAGTGATGAAGATTTCTTATCTGTCAAATAAAACTTTTATGGTTTACTTCCATCAAGTTTTGATCACTTTGATTTGTTCATACTGGAAAATAGATTTACAGAACTAACAGCTGTAATGATAATGAGGGATAGACAAGAAGAAAAAAAATAGAAAAATAATGATTTTGACAATTAGAACAAAAGAAGACTTAGATATTGTTCTCTCATCAGTAGGGTCACATAATCCGATAATCAAATTGGTGTATTTGTAATTAATCTTTAACTCAAAATCTACATGTATGCCAGTGTCTAATGCATCAATTTTGAGTATATACATGTGTGAATGGTCTGCTCCTGCATACGCCGTGTGTAAGTGTGCGTGTGTTCACATGCATCTCTCTCTCTCTCTCTCTCTCTCTCTATATATATATATATATATAGATTCACACATACATTTTCTATGAGAGGTTATGTTGTTTTTTCAGCATGACTCAGTGGCACAAAAACAAACTCTGTTTGGCTTTGTGCTTCAGGTTTTTGTTTTGAATATTGGATATATATATATATATAATTTTTCTATTGTGCCACGTACCTCGGCCTGTTGGTTGGCATCATATATATATATGGATTTTTCTATTGATTTTATTTTATCTCTTGCAGTCCTGTTTATAGTTTTTAACCTAGGTTATTATTTGTGAATCATGTTTCATCCAATTTTATCAGTCCTGCCATGCTGAGAAAACGCTATGGTTCCAAACGTGAATGGATTTACCTGAGCAATTTTCTTGCTGATATCACGAATATGCTTACTGTAAACATTATGAATTTATTTAGCAATGTGTTTCATTTTGGTGCAATCTTTATTTACTTGACAAAACTTGACGGTTATTACCATTTCAAGGATTATGATTTCTGACACTCATGATTCAATTGGGATGGCTGCAGTTCTTTTATAAAAATTATTGGGAAGTTGTCGGGATAGAGCAATTTTTTTGAGACCTGCTTTTGTTCATTAATATTTTTGTTTTTGGAAAGTTGAAAGATAGCTATTTTATAACCGTGAAGGGTGTGCATTTTGTATTAATATAAAATTAAAAGGTTACAAAAGAACTATAAAAACTACACAAAAGGTGTAGTGTGGTTGGCATTGGCCTCCACCACACTCAAGCAAGCGGGGTCATAAGTGTGAGCATCCCAAACAAAAACCTATCCAAAGCAAGCCTAGAAAAAGAAAGGACTGTTTTGTTACAATTTCTATTAACAAAGAAAAAAAAAAAACTTGTTTAAAGTTCATCAAAAATTAAAAATCAAAATCTATATCATTTTGAATACTCCGCCGTGAGTTGTCCGTACCTTGGTTTAGCCATTTTTTTATGTCCACCACACTACTAAAGTAGTTGCAAAAAGAACTATCTATTCACAAAAGTTTTTAGAAAGATGCTAAAAATTAGTCACCAAACAGAAGCATGGCAGCAATCTTATAAGCAAAGCAACAAGAAAGTTACTCCAAATGGACTCTTAAGATCCATTTGGGATGCCTGCAGCTCTTTGCAAAGGTGATTGTAAAGCTGTGGTTATATATATCAATTTCTGTGATGTGAATTATAAATAATTTTTTTTCTAAAAATTAAAGGATAGTTTTCTTAGAGTCATCACATCTTAACAAATCTCGTTGCCTTGCAAATATTTTAAAAAACAGCAATGAAGCAATTCTACAAACATAATTTGGGTGAAAGTTTGAAAAGCAATGCAGACAGAAAGACAAAAAGACAGAAAGTTATCTCAAATAGACCATTAATCTAATATATAAGAACTGTGAAGTGAAGTAAGCTTATCATTCTATTCCTGCTTATTAAGAGTTGGTTGCATTATTTTTTGCAGGAAAGTCGACTTTGATGACTGCAGGTGGTCTTGTGGTAGGTGCGGTGGTGGGATCTGCAGTTGAAAATTGGTTGCAGGTTGACATAGTGCCATTTTTTGGCATCCATTCTCCTGCTGTCATTGTAAGTGAATTTATCCTTTTGTCTCAGCTATTGGTGTCTCTTTACCTGAGGTAGGTTTGAAGCTTAACAAAATTTTACCATGTAATTGTCAACATATTCAAGCGTTTTAAGTTTTGTTTAGTTGCTTTGCATGTATATGATGCTGTATTATGTAATGTAATTAATATAATTATATTTTCTTAATTGTTTTGTTCTGCATCCTGATATATATATATCTTTATATATACATATATAAGGGCGCCGCGTAATCAAATCAGTTGGTCGGACATTTGCTGGTCAGTTGTAAGTCCTTTATATATACATATATAAGGGCGCCGCGTAATCAAATCAGTTGGTCGGACATTTGCTGGTCAGTTGTAAGTCCTTTATATATACATATATAAGGGCGCCGCGTAATCAAATCAGTTGGTCGGACATTTGCTGGTCAGTTGTAAGTCCTTTATATATACATATATAAGGGCGCCGCGTAATCAGATCAGTTGGTTGGACATCTGCTGGTAAGTTGTAAGTCCTTTGTATATACATATATAAGGGCGCCGCATAATTAGATCAGTTGGTCGGACATCTGCTTGTCAGTTATAAGTCCACTGTGGTCTGAGATTCGATTCCCCCTGAGTGTAGGGTGTGGTACTCGAATTCTTAGGCGCATGAGGGATGACCAGGGCTCGTACTTGAGGTTGCTTGGTGGGTTGAAGGGTGAGTGTGTGAGTGGAAATTTGGGTGAAATTCAATTTATTTTAAAAATGAGAGATTTGAAAATTGGGGTGATTAGTGTAATGATTTTGAATAATTGTTGGTAGTTTTAAGTGAGTGTTTTGAGTTTGAGTTTTATTTTGATTGGGAAGTGGTTTTGCGGGGATTTGAAGTGAAGTGAGAGTAGTGAGGCAAGTTTGAAAATTTTTGTTTTATTTTTTATTGAATTTTATTTATGAATTATTTTGTTGAATTTTCTTTTTGTCTATTTTTTAAAAGAATCGTGTGATTTTATTTTTTATTGATTTTTATATTTAATTTTATTATTATTTAATTTATTTCAATTGAAATCTTTATTTTCATTGTTTTACAAATATTATTATTATTTTTAATTATTATTGAATTTTATTTATTTTTAAATGATTTTGATAATTTGATAATTTTTAAATTTTATTCACATTTTCATTTTTTATTGGTTATTTCTGAAATTCTTATTGTTGTTTTGGCTTTTTAATGAAAATTTTGGTGAATTTTTTTTTCATTTAATTTCAATTCTGATTTTATTTTGGAATTTTAATGGGTTTGATTTCATTTGATTTTATTTTTGATGAACATGCGATTATTTCTCTCTCTTTTTTTTTTTTTGGTGGAAAGATAAACCATATCTTCAGACGTATCCAAGGAATTTTAAAAAGTAAGTGTAAGGTGCACGAAAAAAGATAAGTAGAAGACCTAAATCCCTAGAGTCAAAGGGTAGCTTAGGATATTTCCATGCACAAATGAAGTCAACTTAAGCTTCAATGACTTGAACTCAATTAAGGGTCTATTTGGGGCTGTTTATTTGTTGCGGTGGCGTTTTGAAAACGCATATGACCTTTTTGGGTAAACTGCGTTTTGACAGCTTATGCGTTTTCAAAACGCTGAAAATAGCATTTTCACACCGCAACTGTCTAGGTGCGGTGACAGCTTTCTGGCTGCGGTCTGATTTTTCCAAAAAAATAAAAATTTGTAGTAGCCACCACACCTAGCTTATCGACAGATTTTTTTAATCAGCTTATCAGCAAATTATTCAATAAGCTGCAGCTGCCCCAAACAGACCCTAAATCAACCAAAGGTTAAAGATTCAAGATCAAGTACATAACATTATAAGAATTGAAGAGATGTTTTGAAAATTGTAGTTTAGATTTTGTTCAATCACTACTCATCTAGGAAAAGCCCTCAAGGAAACCTTAATGCTAAATTCTAAGTTATACAGAGAGAAGGAATAAGATAGATCTCATTCAAAAATTAGTTTAATAATTAACTAATCAACTTGCCTTTCAAATGCTTAAAGAAAATCAAATGGAATAGACAACAATTTCCCAAGAACAATCCAAGGAGAATAAATGTTTAGTTACTACATATTTATACTAGAAAAACAAATAACGTCACTGATAGAAAAAGTTTACATAAAAAAATAAAAATAAATGAAGAATACATCCATATGGAATTTCTCTTCACTCCAAGCCAGTATTCTTCTACAATCTGCTTTCTCCTTTGAATACCTCTCAACTCTCTCCACTACATACATATTGCACATGGACTCTACCCTCTCAAGACATGAAGAGAAGTCCCTTGCTATAATGAATCTCACTCCTTATAATAATTCCTTTGGCTGAACCGTCAGCAAACCTTAAAAACTACCGAAAGTCAGCGAGGAGAACTGACAAAATGGCGTAGGGGCGCTGGCGACAGTCATGGCTGCGTTGGATTATGACGCTACAATTCGCGACTACGATTCTTCAATCTAGGTCGTTGAGAGCGGTGACACTACTCTTATGGTGTGGCGGTGCTGGCTCCTGGCACTGGGGTACCACCACAGTGTCGTGCTCTCTATCCATTTCTCTGGACTAGGCTACTTTAAGCACTGAGGCACCCCTTTATATGACACTGGGTACAGACGCTGGGGCGCCTCTTTTTTGCTTACTACATTTTCTCCAAATGCTCTCTTTTACCTGTATACCACACATAAACACCAAATACACCTACAAAACCATAGAAATTATATAATGTTGTAACAGACTACGCATTTTAAGCACATCAAAGGACCGGAAAACTTTACCATCATATCTCTCGAAAAATGAAAATTCTTCTTGAACACAATATATTAAACACATTACGGATGTAAACACATCAACGGACCAGGAAACTAAACCATCATATCACTCCAAAATTGAAAATTCTTTTTGAAGAATAACAAATCGTCCTTAGTAGTTTGTTGATGTTATCTTGTCAATATTATGGTACCTTTTGTGGCCATTGAGGGGTTGTGATTCTTTAGACATTGGAACCCCAAAGAAAAAACAAGCATAAAAATCTGCCTAGACAGAAGAATGCAACAACCTAGACATGCAGAGTCAATAACTGCCATATGGGCAACAACAACCCGAACAGTAGGGAATAACAAATTAAATGTGGGCATACAATTAGAACCCGAAGTAAGTAGGCAACCAGAGCCTATAGACCAGACAACTGTAGTCTGAAGAGGGGGGATGTGGCTTCTCTCCCCCTCAAAAAAGATGTTTATAGGTGAACTTTTAGAAAAAGGGCCAAAAAATTTGAAGATTGCAGGTTCACGCTACTAGTCAACATGCGGGCACACAAGACAGCTGGACGATTGCAAAACTGTTCTCGCACGCCCGTCACACGATTGCACGCACGCGACCTTGCCACCGTACATGTGCACGATCACGCCTGCACCATCGTCCCCGCATCTACGCACACCCTCGCCAAATGTGCAGATGCACGAACACACCACTAGGCGAGCACACGTGAGCACCGCCGAACCCGCGCTTGTTCCCTGTTACTTTATGTGCTCATTTTCTAGCAAACATGTACATGTGCACTGGGGTATGCGTGCATGTGCACCCAGACGCTTATCATCACCCTACAATTGTTATCTGACCAATGCTTCGCCACCTTCGCCGCCTTCGTCAAGCCAACGCCGCCAAAAGTAGCAACAATGACATAATAAAGTGCTTTAGAAATATTTAATCTACTATTTTTTGACATTCCAGAAGCTTTATTAAAACTTCACGGAACATCCATGACAATTCAAATTTTCTTAAAATACAAATTTTTAGAATGTCTAAAGTTTTGTTTTTAAATACAAGCTACATATTTTTGAACTACACTAACAACATCGCCTAAAAATAGGGGGACAACTAATGTGTTGTCAATAAATTTTTACCAAGCACCAATGTCAATGCATTTCTTATAGGGGATCTTCCAAATTCAACATCATTTGAGCATCGATTTCAACAAGTTTATGGTCAAAATGACCGTCTCCACAAGATGAAGCCATTAATGTCAGAAGTGGCTCACTCCGGGTCCAATCATCTCATATCAAACTATTGAAGCATAGTTGAAGGCCTTGGATTGTCAAGTGAATAATCAACTCAACTCCAAATTTAACATATTCATTGTCAATTTGAGCATCTCGACAAGAGTTCCAAAGAGTTTAAGATTGCGCAATTATGATATCATTAAGTGAACCTAATCCTTAAAAAAATCACTTATGAGCAAGTGCGGTTAGCCTGGATCAACCGATCAGGTGTTTAGGGAAATTAAGCTTCAAAAGATCAAATATAACCATCCTCAGAAGAAAAAGTTGATCTGCTCTCTTCACTTGATAGGGGGAGAAGAACAAAACAAGTAAAATTCAAGATCCTGTTTTATAGCGAAGACCCAATGAGTAATCACCAGTTTCCGTAACCACCAGCCGCAGTCAATAATCGACCTCTGTTGCCATCGGCCAACATTAACCACCGTCCTCCATAGCCACCAACGATCACCGACCATCACCAGTCATCACCACTTGTCGCTGCCAACTATCGACCACTGACCATTGGTGATTAGTGCTCTCAATCTTTATAATATGACAACAATTGTTATTGAATTTCTTAATACTTGTATTTCTTAACAAGTGTATTTTTCAGTATAAAATTGTAGTCTCTATTGTGAGAGAAGAGTGTACCTTTATGCTAACACATATACTGCATTATTTTGATTAGGCTAAACCACATAAGTTTTATCATTTTCGGGTAATTCCACATAAAAAATGTTGATGTTTACCCGCAATCTTTTTTTTTTTAGTGTATTGCATCTCCTTACAACACCAAGACATTAAATCATCACTCTACTGTTATGAATTTTCCTGGCAAAACAGTTATAAATGAAAATATTAAACTTTAGGTGCTAAATATGTAAATACATGAGAGTTGTGTGGTATGTATGTAAATTTCCTTACTTTTAAATCAAAAAACGAAGCAGCTTTTTAAACCTGCCTGGACGAATATTAACGTGCTCGGCGAACGAGGCGGAAGTATATTTGTTCAGCCATATCTGGAGCGAAATTATTTTGTACTCAAATTTGATATTAACATTTATAACATATTGGTGGTATAAATT